GATCTGATGCTCTCATACCTGTAAGCACAACAGACTGCACATAGCATGTCCAATGCACAGCACCTCTTCCCAAAACTATCTAGTACCGAGTATTTAGAATACAATCTACAGCTATATAGCTGCAGCGTGGAAAGGCCATCATTTGCTCAGTCTTGCACCGAGGCATAAGACAGTCGCCTCAGCTAGGCTAGGGTCCCCTTAAGAGCTCCTTGTCCAGGGGCCTGCAGGGGTTGTGAAAAGGCGTCCTATAGACGTTAAATGAAGTTAATATAGGGGCATGAATGCAGGTTCAGTTTATATTCTACTATAGCTAAACTAAGCGGGTGAGATAGGATGCTTGCTAATTACTCCGACCCCTACAGTCGTGCTTGAGTCTCCGCCCCAAAAGCCCTACAGGCTACATGTTTCTTTGTGGACCGTTCTGAACCTTAAACACTTTATAGCCCTTAGCCAACCCTAAAATTAGCCTAAAATCGTTTCCCAAGCTCCTAGGACCTAGGAGGACACTACACTGTCACTACATGCGCTCTATGCAGCTGAGGAGCCAAGCCCGCGAGGACGACCACACCAAACCTGAGTTGAGCAAAGCAAATTTCGTTCAGGGTTTGATGGCAATGGAAGAAGTGTCTCCCTAAACCCTTTTGCAACGGCCTTGTCAGATCTCGACCGGTCTCCCTAAACCCTAAACCCTGATCACACTCGGTGCCTGTTTCTAGGGACTTGCCAAAAAGGCGAGCCACAACGACTATCTCTTCGTCAGCGCAGCATATGTGCGGCCGATGGTATGATCCATCGATTTGATTCCAGTTTGTTGACTCGTCTGGCTTGTATGAGGGTACTTGCACATTCTTTTCCTCAAGTAACAGGTGGACCGGAATGCAAAGAAGACAACACCATAACTGATGCCCGCGGCAAGGGTTCTGGAACCTATATCATATCACATCCAACCACACACGTTCATCCCATCTTGGAGTTTCCTTTCCCAAGCCATGATGCAGCACAACATAAGACATAAGCCATACAATGATACTCACAGCAACCCTGTGGTGCCCAGGAGCAGAAGCCACATGCCATAGCCAGCAATGCTGACTTTCTCAGACTCTACCACAGAGCCGATCTCCAGAGTCGCAGAGGCATTGGTCCTTCCGCAGTCACATGTCTGAGCTAGTCATCCAAATCCGGCCAATGCTCGAACTTTATCGTCCGCCGTTCCGGGGCAACCACCCTAAACCCTAAAACCGCTTGCAGCCCCAAACTCTGGAAATTCCCCCCGGAGTCCCGTTCACGAACTCGACCGGAATGGCTTCCCCGAGCTCCTTGGCAACATAGAATAAAGGCTCTTTTGAGGGTTCCTTCCGGTCGTTCCTATCAGCTTTTAATGCTATCATCCGGCTTCTATAGTATGTGGCTGGGCTCGTGGGGTTTGTACCTCAAGGGCCAACGTAGCCCCGTGCAAGGTTCTCCTTTAAAGCATAGCGAATTTGAAAAGGAAGGTTCAGGTAGAGCCACAAGGATTCAGGGTTTGTAGGCCTAGAACCTGAAGCAATTACTTGGGATGGGGTGTTGAGATGTCGACCCCGTTTTGAACTCTTGTCTCGATGCTCTTTGCTTCTGGCTAGAAAAGCTGGGAAGTCGTGGGATTTCAAGTGAACCCTATGCAACCTTAATCCCGGAACCCTGAGACTCAAATCCTAAACTTGTTGCAGCGGAATTCTTCGGCTCCGGCCAAGACAGAGACTGCCAAAAGCAGCGCCAACACTATCCTGACAACCATGGCAGATACACCTCCTATGCAGAGTTTGTCTGTAAATAGGTGGCAATGTTTAGGGAGCTTGGGTCAATTTAAGCTTGTTTTTGTTGCCTTTGAATAGATTTACGTAGGCTGTTGTGGTTCAGGGTGTAGAACATATGGCAGAGATGAGCGAAAAGTAGAGATGCAGAAATCCGTATCCCAATGTTGCTGAACTCTAAACTCTAAACCCTGTAAAGCAAGAGTCATGAGCTCATAGTTTTGCGGCGTGGGGTGTCCTAATCTGCTGTGCTCCTCTTGTTCTAATGAAGAGCCGGCATCGATGTTGTGGGAGCCTAGAAGCGGCGAGCAAATCTCAGAAGCGGCAATAGGGGGGTTTAGGGATGAGAATAGGGTTCGGGGATATACTGAAGCATGCACGAACGATCATAGGGGATCGTAGAGTCTAAGCAGCTCAGACACCTGTAGCTCATTCAGCATGGCCAGGTGCCATGTCGGATGAAGCAGGATTCCTTTCGTTTCCTCGGAGCCGAGGTCGCAGTACGGTTGCCATTGGAAGCTCAATTGCAGGCGCCTGAGACTGGTCCAGAAGAGACATTTGGACACCCTGTAAATAAGTTCTAAAATAAACCCTAAGTTAAGCTCTGAAACACTCCCTAAGTAAATCTCTAAAATCAACCCTACATTAATCTCTAAAACAACCCCTAAGTTAATCTCTAAGATGAGCTCCAAGCCGAAGTCTGATACAGATAAGCTCTGCCTGACACCTTGGTAGGTTGGAGCTGCTGTCTATGCTGTAGGAAAGCTTACTGTCCAGCTTCCAAGGGGAGCTAGAGGTTGACCCTTTGGGATTATATGGGGGTTTCCTCAAATAGGGGACCCCAACATAGTACCCTAAATAGTAGGATCCTTATTATAAGGACCCCCATCATAAGGTACCCCTTATTTTCTGAAACTCCCATATAAGGATCATGCTATAGTAGAAGCCCTAAAGTTGGAAACCCAATAGCCTCAATCCTTAAAGACTAATGTATAGGGAGTCCCAGCACCCTTTGTCCTTACTCGGGGTTTCCAACCGTTTAGGGGTTTACAAGACAAAAACAAGGAGGAGGATCCCTTACTTCACTAAGAAGGCCTTGTTAGTAGCTCGTCTTTTCGTCTACCGAAAAAAAGATTAACTACCTCTTAACGTATCCCCATAGGGCTCCGTTAGGGGTTACCGAAAGGGTTCCTCCAAGGGCTCATTGAAGGTTTAGGGTTCAGTCTCAGGTCCCATCCGACGCTTCAAGATCGAGAGCTCGAAAACCGGAGTTCCCCCAGCAGGTTGCTGGCAAGACTGCCCCTCTGCACCTAACGCACCTGAGCTCCACAGTTATCGACCATACTCGTAGCAATGATCATGATCATCATAATTAGAATTATAATCATAGTTCGGGAAAATCCGGAAAACCCTAAGCCCTCAACTCTCCGCATTCCGGACCGCCCTGCGTCATCTGCAGAACCTTCCATGGCTCCAGCGCACTCCGAATGCCAGCAAGCTGCGTCACACTGAAATTCCCATAGGACAGGGGTACTTAAGCTTACCTGGACCCCAAAGGTACGTAGAATAATAGCCCTTTATAGGGTTTGGGCCATTATGTTACCTACTTTTGTGGGTTTAGGTAAAGGGTTTAGGGTTTGGGGGCTCGGGTTCAGGGAGCCTGATGAAGCGATACCTTCTATAACTTTGCTCGATATGAATGAACTAGAGGATTTTGGGATGTCTGGGATCCCATCACTGATAAACCAGACCATAGGCGCATGTCTTCGCCAGTTCCCGAGTTTCTGCATATCTTCATCTGGTCTGTGTTGCGAAGTCGCTGCACGCCGAAAGCATAACAAAAAGTTCCGGCAGCCTCCCCATTTCTGCAGAGAGGATTGCCCCGGGTCCTTCTGCTCTATAGAACAGCTCTCAGCAAGAACTGACGAGGAAGCTCAATGCTGCAACTGTTCAGAAACCTGTCTTTGACCTTGACGCCAGTTCGCTTGTGGTGATTGCAAAGCTCCTGATCCTGCTATCCTCTCTTCGCCCCCCCGGTATATGATCTAATAGAACTGCAGCTGTATAGGCACGAGGGAAGGGGATACTATGGGATACTATCACCAACTACAGACCCCTATCTTTCCCAAAGGGTCTAAGTACCTATATAGTAGGTATGTTGGGCCCCCCAAAGTATCTACCATATAAGTACCTAGACCCTTTGGGTTTTGAGCACTGACCGGCTAGTTCTCGCTTCTACTCCTCGGGATTCTCGCGTCACTGTCTGCCCCATTGAACTGAGGACGGGAGGCACTGCCCATCCTGCACAGGGCATTTCAGATCACGAAGTTAAACTACAGTCACAACATAGGAATTATCGGTAAGTGTACGGTTATGACAGGGACTATGAGGTTTAGCATCTGACGGTATATATTATATGGCTGTATAATGAGGACCACAACGCGTAAGGCCAATTCTGGTGCCGGGCCGTCAGCTTCTTGTCGTAGACCGCACTTCTTTCTGCGACGAGGAGGCACGATACCCAAGACGCTTTCAAGCTCCGAAAACTAGCACAGCAAAAGCCCTACACTGCTTCCTTGTGGCTGAACTTCTCGCGCAACAGACTTTGATCTAAAGCAAAACCCTCAATCAAAAAAGCAACCGGAAGCCTAAGCCTCGAACAAGCCCGGCAAACGCCGCAAGCATGCGGGCCCCGATGCTATCAAAGCTTCCTGTTATGTTCGCACTATCTTGCCTGGCCACTTAGATTTAGATTGTCAAACCACGCTGGACTGAGAGTCTCCAGCGATGGTAGGGCAACCCTGAGCCCTGGAGGCTAACCTTATGCCTTAGCTTCGGCCTTTATGAGCTCTTCTTCCACTGTTTGATTCTGCAGCCAAAACTCAATGGGGAACTCAAGTTTACAAACACTTTCCTAGCAGAGCCGTGAGAATGAGACGAACCAAGACTTCATGTAAGACATCACGAACAAGCAACAACCTGTTGTGGTGGGTCATAAGTCAGAAAGCCCATCATTTTATTAAAACCAGTGGGTAAAAAGGATGCAGACAAGGTACTCTGAGTTGAACTATTGCCAGGGAGGGGAGGGATGCGGAAATACCTGCCACCGCTCAACCATGAACACGCACACCTTAGCAGAAGCAGGAAACAGGCCACAAACACATATGCAAAAACCAAAAACACAGGCATGACGAGAGCCCGGCCACACGGCTAAGACAGCTGCTGCCGCATGACGGATAAGAAGGCTCTGCTGTCCTGATTGATACAGGATAAACATTGTAAACATGAGCGCGAGGGTGACTGTTTATCGGTCTTCGGTGTTTGGAGTTGAGGGGGCTGCAGACGCTTCGGGGTCAGGATGCGGGCATGCTCAGTTATGTCTCACAATAACGTTGCTCAGCAACTTGTTCCATTCAAAACGTCCTGGCGGCGATTCTGATAAAACACCGCTGCTGTTCTCTACGAGCTGAGGCACCACTGCTCATGCTTGCACAGCCGTCTTTAACTGTCTGTGGATAGAGAAAGCACCTCCTCAACATCAAGCAGGGCTTCTGACGCGGCTAGTGGCGAGCTGAGAGCTGCATGATTCGTCAGGCAGTCTTTTGACAGAGTGACCGTAGAAGCATCTTGCCTTGAGCCCACACCCCGAAGCCAAACTAGAATCCCTAAACAACCTGAACCGAGTCATCTGCAGTCTCACATGCATTGCTGATTTCAAGAACTCCAAAACCCGACAAGTCTACGTACTGGTTGAGAGGGCAAGCAGGCTCCTTGCAACTGAGATGCAAGGGTTCTGAGGTCACGCTTCATGTGTATACTACTGCTTTGACTGCGGTCTTTGCTCCGATTCCCTTTGTATTGTCTACTTCTGACTTCTGAAAGGCTCATCTTAAGCATTCCCAGACCCGAAACGTAACCCTAAGGCCCTAACTAGGACTCACAGACAAAATGCCGAACCCCAAACCCGGAATGCTAAACCCAGAACCCATAATCCTGAACCCAAAACCCATAATCCCGAACCCAAAACCCATAATCCTAAACCCAAAACCCATAATCCTGAACCCAAAACCCATACTTCTGAACCCAAAACCCATAATCCTGAAATCCTAAACCCACAACCCATGATCCTGAACCCAAAAACCCGTAATCCCAAACCCTACAAACCAACCCGCATCCGCCTGCGCGCCCGAGAACACGGTGGGCTCCACGGCGCCGGACCCTTCGGCCTGGATACCTGGACCCCCCTAAACCCTAAACCCTAGACTCCCCTAGACCGACTTTTCTACTAAAAAGGACTTACCCTAAGCATCAAAATAGCCCAAAAGCCTTAGAGAATAGGGTCTCTGGGCCCAAAAGCCTTAAAACATGAGTTTTGGAGGTTCTTCATACGTATCCCAATCCCCAAACCCTAAACCCCAAACTCTCCGGCTGCTGGCGGGGCGCAATACTGAGGTACACTTGACACACCTTCGGCTCGCACCTTGCGAAGTGCATCCTGGAAGAGCATCTTGGAGCAGGCTTAAACGTAGGGCTCAGGATTAAGGATTGCCTATAGTCTCCATTGTAGTTCCCTTTTGGGGTCACCTTTTAGGATCCTTAAAATAAAGTTGGTTAAACCCAAAAAAGGAGCTACATTGGAGACTATAGGTATTACGCTAGTTTAGGGTTATAGGGTTGACGGCCTATTTAGGGTTTAAGGAGTTTAGGGGATGAAGGGTCTGGGGCTGATGAATGCCACATGCCACAATCCTCCCGAACCGGTGATCCTGATAGCAAAAGATATCCCCCCACACACACTCGGCTCACCCGCAGTTCTGGTAGTCCACCACCACCATTCCTGCGCTGGTCTCGGTTGTCGGCTCGTTTGGTTTACACGGTAAGTGTTTGAGAGAAGTCAAAAACCTGGACTGCTCGTCATCGTGGTGATCGTGAGCAATGCCTCAAGCCGTCAAGCCTTAACCGGCAAGGCCAAGGCACAACCATGCCACTGCATCCTTTGCACTGCCATAACCGAGCTCCTCGATGGCCTGCACTGTATTCAAAGTGACAAGAAGCACGATGATAAAGGGGGAGGTTTAAAAACTTTTGATTGTCCCGTAAACCCTAAACCCCTAAAACCCTAAACCGTTGGAGCTTCATGGCTTCACCAACACGCTTGCCGGACGGAATCAGCCACAAGCCTTCTCCGTTTGCGGCCCTCACACCTAAACACGTTTCCCCATCGCCCTAACACCTGCAAACTCCGAACCCCAAAAACCCTAGCAGCCACCGCTCAGACACTGATCCAACAGGTCTCCTCAAAGAGCCACATGACATGACAATCCCTGATAAAGTATAGCCTCTGCAACCGCCAGGGCGACGACGCGCTATGACAGCGTAGACCATGGCCACCACCACCACCGCCACCACCTTACCAACCCTGAAACCTAAACGTTTCCAGTTCCGGCCTGGGCAGCCCCTTCGGGCACTGAAATGTTGCAGTCCCGATCGTAGGTGAGCTCGTAAAATTTTCCTGGATGCCGGAGCTAGTGGGCATGTCTACCAGGGTTATACCTTCAGGGTTCTTATTGCGGCTACTCTATCGAAGGGCTGCATACTGTTAAATCAGCGTCTCCAAAAAGAAAGACTGTAATCGTACTGCACACAGTCACACAGAATAGTTTATTTAGATTATGACTGCTAATCTTTTCAAACGAGGTAGATCTCATGATAGCAAGCTGTGGGTTTGGAAACTCTGAGTAGGTCGGTCTGTGGCGGTTCGGCAGTATCATGGAAATGCCACGATGTTTATTCTTGGCGGCCGGAATAGTCTTTGCACTCCGTGTGCAGATACACACTTCTGAATATGCGAGTTTGCCAGAAATGACACCAAGCAAGCATTTATGACAGAGAAATCTCCGAAGGCTATGGGCAGAACAGAACTTCCACTCCAAAGACCACTTCTTTGTCAGACGGGCCAGGTGCACTGTCAGTCAGTGGTAGCCTAAGTTCATGCATAACTACAGTATTTTCCCGCAATCCACTTTCCACGCCCCGAAGCAGCTCCCATGCCAAGACAAGCTGCGCATCAAAGCGTGGCTTCTTTCGACCTGGGCACAAGGTGATCACCACTCCAGAGCCACGCCATAGCAGTTCGCAGCCTATCTGCTATGTTCCTCAACATCGGGCGAGCAACGGCGTCCTGAACTTGTCAGAACCCGGGCAGGGCCGACTTTTCTGACCGAGACACCTTGTCTTTTTCGCTCAGTTCCGGCATCCTCGCGTGGATCTCGTCGAGGTACGTACAAAGCCGATGGGCGTTCCTGAAAGACGATCGCCAAGCGTCGCTGATTCGCTGATAATAGATACTACCCGGTTCTTACGGGTTCTATAATGGGGTCTCCCTTAAAGGGTGCTGTGGGGTTCCATAGTAGGGCCCCCCTTTGTGAGAAGGCTTCGTGAGGACCAAGCAGCTCGGTGTTGGGCCACCATTTCCACTGCCTGGAACGGGTATAAGTCAACAGCGTGTCGTGCGTTTCGGCTCGCGTAAATGATCCTAACCCTCCAGGTACCTACTATATAGGGTACTAGAGCCCCTAGTACCCTATATAGTAGGTACCTGGGGGGTTAGGGTGAGGGAAGGGAAACTGCAGGCAGTCTTGGAACGACTTTTCCATGGCCCACCATGAACCCATCGATCTGCGATCTTCAAGAAGGTTCGCAACTCGCACAAGACTGGCAACAGCACATGCTTCATAATTAATTAACCCCCCAGCATGAATGTGATACTGAAGTCAACGCGCCCCATGCAGACTTGAAAAGGCCTCGGGGAGTTCAGATGTCTGGTTTGGCCATCAACCACACTCAAACTCTCTGAACATGCGCCCATATAGTATCTACGTTGGCCTTAAACTAACGAATCTCTGCTTCAAGCCCTTTGCCCCCAAACTCACACCGCGTAGGTCCATGGACCCTTAAAGGAGCCCTGAAAAAGAGCCCTGAAAAGGAGCCCTGAAGGAACCCTGAGCCTCAAACCCACCCTTAAGGGGCCACTGGAGAACCGAGCCTTTCAAGGTCAGGAACCCTTACAAGCCATTAAAACAATCCCTTTAAAGGAATGCACCTCAGATCTGGAGGTTTCCAGCCGCCACCCCATCCTCGACGCCTGGGGGTTTAGGGTTTACGCTCTCTTGGGTCGGGTTTGGGGTTTAGGTTCTACGGTTTTCGGGTTTCAGAACTCACATCTGGGACAAGTCGGGCGAGGTTGGCTCGTTCGGCGAAGCACGTCGGCTAGGACTTTGGCAGGCAACAGGGACATTAAACCATCACCAAAAAGGTTTGAATGAGGTTTGGGAGCCATCAGCATGTGCTGCAATGGAGAACAGACACCGTTATAGCGCGTTCAGTTATGCTACGTTGCGGTAAATAAATCTAGTGGTATATAGTATATATAGTAAAGCACCCTATATCCTAAACCCTAAACCCGTATCCCGATGCGACGTCTAACCCACAGCCCGTGAACTGCGAGCACGCCGGCCTGCAATAGTCTGCCTTGTCCTCACCAGAATTCTTGGTGGAGGGGTCGATCATGAACGGATAATACCTGACAAGATGGGGTGCAAGGCACCGTCACTTCTACCATGATTGCGACGACCACGGCGACCTTGCTTCGACGACCCAGTCCCCCACTCGTACTCCTGCTCCCGCTCCCGACCCCCCGCTCCCACTCTTCTCGCTCCTGCTCCTACTTCTCCTCGTCCTGCTATATACTCCTCCTGCTACCACGATGACGAGATGGCGGCCGCTGCACAACGACGACGTCGACCACCACCTCCTCCACCACCACTGCCAGTGTCAGCTCAGCATGCTACAGTGTGGCCTCACATCCACATCCACACCCTGCTTCTGCATCTGCTGCACTGCAGCTTCCAGTCGTGTGTCTCCCACGTAGCACCTCGACATGTGAGCAAAGAAGCCATGAAATCCTGCCCTAGAATATGGGGGGGGGGGGCCGGAAAGCTTCGTGAGTCGGCTTACAGGCACTGGTTGGCGAAGAAAGCACTGCATCAGAATGGCTGCCAACCTATCCGGACGAGGTTCAAATAGCATAAAGCTACAGTCATATAGAAACCTCTACATACATGCACACATTTATGTATATAGAATATGCACATTATTTGTGGGTAATTACTTGCTTAACTCATTCTAAACGGACGTACACCTAAAATCGTGTGGACACATTCGCAACGATGTGTGCAGCTGCGTAGGCGGGCATTGCATAGGTAATGTGTGAGGCTGTCTCGCAACTTAGACTGTAGCAGATCATCCCAAAGTATGAGCTGCTTGTATGACCTGGACTGTCACATCGGTCGCCCACAGCCATCAACCACGGCAGCAGCATGCATCACCAGGCAGCCATGAAGCAGCAACCATGGACAAATAGTACGACCATGACAAGCATATTGGGCGAGCAGGCATTGCTCCGCATCGAAACCGAGGGTGCGGCTTAACCCTAAGATCCCAAAAGCCTAAACCCTAATCTCCCAACATGCCGAGGCCGAGGTTTGAACTGATGCTCGGAGCCTGTGTCGCAGGATCCACACTCTTGAGGTCGAATTGCCCTCGAAAGTATGGGGCCGTTCTTCCCATACCGAGAAAGCCTTTGTTACAAGTAGCTTTGAACCATGAACCAGTACGAATCTGTTGGGGTTCGCTTGGTCGCAGTGTCCTAAAGTTAAAGTGCACCATAGATCTTTCCGGCATGTCGCCAGGGTCAGGCAATGTCGCTCACAATGTCCACACGAATCTTTTTCGACATGGCGGCTGAAGGCTGGACCTACTGAAACCGCGGTTTCGTAACCACCCAGCCGCACACGAGAACGCAGCATCTTACAATCGCAAACTGTATATGTGCGACTCCCCGAAGACTGAAGATCTAACCCAAAGAAACCACCAAAAATGAACACGCCATCTGGCACTTGGGCAGAAATGGCAAAAGCAGCCCGCGAAGCAGCGACATGCTGGACATGCTGATCAATTGCAGTCTTTCGCATCAGGTGGTACAGACTACGGGTTCTTTGAATGCAGCTTTGTACAGAATTCAGCACCCGACACTTCTAAACCATCACCGGGAAGTACACAAGCATCCCAAAACCCTAATCCCTAAACCCTGATCATCATCATGATCATTGTCGCATGTGTCCCGTGGAAAACCCAAAGCCAAGAAATAAAGAAGAAGGGCAGACCCAAAGTTGTATCATACTTCATTCTGGGCTTAGGGTTTAGGGTTACATTCTACTATGCTATATTATGTTATGCTATAATACTGTATTCTGTGCTATTCTGTTAAATTATGCTATGCTATAATTTATATTCAATTCTAGTCTGTTATATCATATTATATCCGGCCTGGGACTTCAACTCCTCCACGGCCTTCTTCATCTGCTCGATCAGCTGCTTGAGGTTTTGGAGCTCCTGCTCTGCCAAGGCTTCGGGTTTAGGGTGTAGGAGTTTAGGGGTTAGAGCTTACGGGTTTAGGGGTTTAGGGGTTATAGAGTTTAGGGGTTCAGGGCGGTTTAGGGTTTAGGGATAGCTCTGGGATAGACGCAAGACAGTATCGCCAGCAAAGTAGATAGGGTACTGGTAGCAACCACGATGTCAGCAGGCATGGTCAAGTTCATTCAATAGCTCAAAATCAAACATGATTGAAAGCACGGCTGCACAAATGGTTACACTGTTCCCAGACCGCTGTGCTTGCTAGTAGTAATCCGACTTTGAATGACCGTAGTACTTGTAGTGCTAACTCTCTTTGCAGTTGCAGTAGTTGCGGCAGCATCATCTGTAGCGTCGTCGTCGCCTATGGTAAATGCCAGGAATAAAATGGACACAGTCATGACCGAGGCATGTTAGGGTATCTGCGATGGTGGTGATGCATTCCTGTTGTACTTTGTCGAAGTTAGAGACCACTATGCTTTGCTTGCCCTCTGCTTTCGGCGACTGCCGAACGTAACTGTGAAAGCAAGTGAACCACGGATCATTTCAACATGCGGCAAGCCTTTTGTGCTTATCTTCCTTCAGAGCGACTACTCCGCAGTTCTTCGAGCCTCTAGCAGCTAGCTAGGAAAAGTCCTGCCAAAGTACACTAGCTACAACTTAGGATGCATAGTTTGTAGTCTTCTGGTTCCGAGTTCGAGGAAACATATCAACCCACCCAAGGCCCGGCAGCTTCCAACAAGCGAAACCTAGGTTTCCTTCTACAGGGCAAGGGTGCGGGAGGATCTCCCTAATCCCTCAACCCTAAATGGCAAAACCCCTACACTTCATTTAAACCCTTAAACCCTAAATTGCAACCCTACACTTCATTGAAACCCTTAAACCCTAAAGCCCAACCTCCCTTTTTCCAAAACCCTCGGGGCAGTCGAGCCTCCATTTTCTTCAGCTTCGCCTCGCGGATAGCGTCCAAGTCTCTCCGCAGCAGGGAGAGGTCCTTGCCTTTCTCCTGGCACCAAGGCTTTCGGTTCCCCAGCAATATACCCGCATAATAATCATCAATGATGATCGTAATAAGTCAATAATAAACAAAGATAACAACAAGACTCATAATCATAACCATAACAATAATAACAATAATGATAGCAATAATGAGAAGAAGGCGATGGGCAAAAACGATCCCATTTTCAGGTTTTCGTGGATAAAGAGACCGCAAGACATGAGGGTACTCTGAAGAATCCAGGGAGATAATCCAGGACGATAGTCTGAGCGACCCTTCACACAACGATGACAACTCAGAGCAGGGCACACATGATGCTATCCTAGCAAAGAAGATAACCGTGTGCATGTGGTTATGTAACAATCAGACCATAAGAAATCACCACAGCCATCATGAAGACATTGCTTTCGTCAGCAGTAGCCACGCCCCTCTTATTGCAACATCATTGGAAACATGTTGGGTACATAGTCGAGCTAAGCCAAGCGGATCACACCTCCGAAGGTCATCCTATGCCAGACTTCAGCCGCCGACCTATCTAGAGTTAGGAGCACCCGGAAAGATGCAAGACTGCAGAATGCCTCCAAGTGAAACTATGGTTCTGTTTGGCTAGCCGGGTTGGCGAGGGCTTCGGGATACGAACGCCTCTTGTAGTTTGGGTTTAGGGTTTGCGGTTTAGGTTTAGGGGCTTATCAACTTCATAAAGTACCCAACTACCCAGACCCGACATTCGGCCAAACAACGAAGCGCTGGAAACTACAGCAGGCCGCGGAACAACCTCCGAAGTCCTGCAGAATTACCGAGTCTCCCCAGGATATAGCTGAAGGACCCGAGCCTCGCTACAATAGTGGCCTTACTATCTAGAATAGGCTGTTGGGCATACTGAATCAGGTTTCTACTCAGGAGCCCAAAGGAATAACATAAGTACATATTTTAGCTTCGATATTAAGGCTTCTTCCACATCCCTTCGGCACGGTCTCAGGAATCCTCGACCTCATATGCCGTAGTCCCCTTTGCTCGATAAAAGCCAATGATATACTGACGGAAGCCTGGTTCAAAAGCCTCAATGCTTGTATCCAGATTGAAGCCCGAAAGACTCAAGCCTGCGACCCCTAAAGCCAAACGCATTCTCAAGCCAAAGCCAAGAGAGCCATAAGGTCTGTAGGACCCACAGGAGTGCCTTCACTTCCTCTAGCACCTTGGCGAGCTCTGCATCAGCATCCGCCAGCCCCGCCTGAGAATAAGGCGTTCAGGGCTTTAGGCTTAGCCTTTAACCGCGGTATTTTAGGGATTTAAGGTTCACGGTTTAGGTAGACCCTAAACCCTGAAGCTTAGGCTTTGAAGGAGCTGTCTCAGGAGACGTTGAAGGATTCCGGCAGCTGGGCCTCAGTGTGGGGAGTTTGGGGAAGTGGGTTGTTGAGATTGCAATTTGTTCGCAAGTTTTCACAGGCTTAAGGACTTTGGGCGAGATCTGCTGATAAATTCGAACCGTGCAATACCTTGCTTTGGACACAACCTACTATGTGATTCGGCGTATCGGAGCCTACCAAACGAGAACTTCATGATGTCATCAAAACAAAGTTTCTACAATCCAGGGTCTAAGCAGTGCCGAGCCTTGATCCGCTCCCGCTCCTCCGCACAGACGCGATCTTGCTCCAGGATGTCTGCCAGCCTCCGTTTTATCGTAGTTCCCAAAGGCTCACAGGCTTATAATGCCATGGGCTGTAAGGGAAGGAGACATGCAATCCCTGCCTTCGTCATGTTCCGAATCTTTACAAGGATGTGGCTGGCCCAACGATCGAGTCTTCTCAGACGACGACATAGCGGTCTTTTGGGAATCTCCAACTACTACTCAAGCGCGACATTCCAGGGAACCCTTGTGCAGAGCAGCCCCCCAAAAAAACAACCCCTATTTCGTACACCCCTAAACCCTTTTTGGCAAAAAATAGAACCCCTTGTACATCAGGGAAACCCTGAAGCGCCAACAAGCCAAAACTATGAAAACAAGAGGATCCATATATACTACTACCATGGAATCAGGTCCCCGAAACCATAATAGGGATGCTCTTATGGCACCTAATTCCATAAAGGTAGTGTATATGGACCCTAAACCCTAAACCTTAAACCTTAAACCCTAAACCCTAAACCCTGTCCCGAGCCTGTACTCGGCGTTGTGGATCAAGGGTGTAACCCTGGCGGTCTCGCTCAGCAGCGTCAGATGAAGCCTCGTCGTTTGGGAGAACGAGAAAGCTAGGGCTTTTCGCTTAGGCTTCGGGTTTCGGGGTTTACCTAGAGTCTCCATTGTAGTTCCTTGTTGGGGATACATTATAAAATCCTTGATATATAACTGGATAAACCAAAAAGAGGAACTACAATGGAGATTATAGGTAGGGTTTAGGGAATCCAGAGTGTGTGGGGAGTCGTTGATTTCTATAAAGGGCTTAGGGTGCAGGGATTCGGCTGGGGGTTTCGGGGCGAAGGGGTCCAGGGATTTGTTTCGGGTTCCGGGTTTACGGCGTACGGTTCAGGCCTTTGGTTCCTGAAGTAGATGTTGCAAGCAGGACTCAGCGATCGGGATTCGTAGAACCCTGAAAGTCTCGAGGTACCGCAGCAATCGACTCCGGAGATCTTCTCTTCAAGCCCATAATTTTAAATCAGCAAGAAGGAGCATGTTCGAAGACTTTCAAGAACAAAATGGTGCTATGTTCAAAATCAATACCTGCTTCATGTCTAGCCAGAGGCTACGGGGGTTCGGTTTTGATGGCATACACTCATACACACAAAGGGACGCATGCCTCCCTCAAAGAAGGCACTGTAGGCTCCTGCTACGACCAACTAGCGCCAGTCATATCAACCAGCGATGGCAAGAAAGTATCGGCTTGTGTAGACTTGAAGTTTGGAGATTGCATGTCTTCCCTCAGAACGAGTTCAAGGCATACTTAGTAGAAAGCCGCCGCCATAACATCTTGCTGCTGTCCCCAGTGCTCTGACTGCTATAAAAGTCTAGAGGCACAGCCACCCCACCGACATGATCCAAAGCCTCATCAGATACTTGGAGGCCCAGGGGACTTAGTAATTAGGTTATAAGTAGAGTTATAAGTACCCTAAAAGGAGTTACCCCAATGATAAACCCTACTTATAACCGACCTACTAGGTCCCCTGGGCCTCCAAGTACTGAAGCAGCAGAGACCTGGCAAAGAAACCTTCCCATGTTCAGATAAGAGGCAAATGCTGCCGTGCATCCTCGAATGCTGCTTCGGCATCCTGTCCGAACATGTCGCGTAGCGTGGCCCGAGGACCCAGCAGAGAGGGAGCCAATGATACTTCAGGCTGCAAGCATTCAGCAATGGATCAAGTTAGGGACGGCTGTCGTCACTGGGCTGTGTACTGTATACCTATTCTAGGAGACACCATAGAGTGAAGGTACTGAAGTGCCGTCTGACACGACATCGTTGCAGCCTTACCAACTCCATAACCTCGCTACATTGAAACCATCGAAAAACCACCATGAACGCAGAACAACTCAAGCACCACTGACCACACCAACCTTGAAAACCCTAACAAAAACCCTAAAAACCCGAAACCAGCGAGAGGGATCCTAAACCCGGCACTGACCCATAGTGTCTGCTCCGCGCACTCCTGGCTGAGATACCGTGGACCTAAACCCTTCTGGCCTGGCTCAACCTGACAGCCCTAAACCTGAAAGCCCTAAACCCTGAAATCGTAAGCCGAAAATCCCGGACCCCTCTCCGAAGATCCGCCTTCAGTTGCTGCTGGCTGCACAGACTTTCTGCTTCCTTGAGCTGTTCCATAAGAACCTGCCGCGTTTCGGGCTTGGGATTTCGGGATGTACCGCTCCAGGCCCAGAGGGTGTCGGATTCCGACTTCAAGACTATACTGGTCTAGAGTCTAGGTTCTATGCTCGTCTAGTGAATCCGTACTTAGCCATGAAGCTTAGATGCGTAGACTTTTGAGCGGTAGGAAAGGGTCTAGGGTGCATAAGGCTCGACAGAAGTGGAGGGAAAGGCCCTGCAACACCGAAGGGGCACCTCGCGCTCCACCTCTGAAATCAAGTCTTGAAGATCTTCTCGCTTGGCTGCCTGTGGCATGGGACAGTGGTGCTCAAAAGGCATGGCGAATCGAGCATCAAAACATCCCATGTGCCCGAGTTCATAGTTCGGGACTGGGTGCATGCTTCAAGTGTTTAGGATTTCCTTTGATGGCGCCTACTCGCCAGTCTATGATACAGTTGGTTGGCCCGACTCCTGCTCATCGAAACCTTTGGCGATGGCAACCCAAGTTCTGGATTAGGATGATTCGGACATCAATATATCGCATGAGGGGAGTAGATTGTATCAGAACGAAAAAGGCTTAGGTTGAAAAGTCATCGATGCTGCTGCTGCAACTGCCCCAACCCCTGAATTCTTCACAGTTGCAACGACTACTGTGTTCGTACTGCAAAAACCTTCGCCGAAAACCCACTGCTGCTATCCTGAACCCTAAACCCTAAACTCGAGTTCCAACAGCCTCCTCGGGCATGACTGCGCGGAGTCGGAGCAGCATCCGAATCGACTTCACCTTGACTATTCTGTGGAATGTGTACATGAGGCATGAAAAAGTGTTTGCTGTATCAGTTGCCCGGTCTCTCTCTATGGCTTCTCAACGCTGAAGGAATGATGGGAATCAGACGGAGACAATACTGCATATGCATGCACGTGCGCATAGATGCTTGCAACTTGCATCGTAACCTCATACATCTCCTTTCTTTCTCTCACCGTTTAAATATACATACATGTATATATATATATATATCTCTCTCTCTCTCTCTCTTGTTTGGGTGTGCGTGTGTGTGTCCGTCTGTGTCCATCTCCCTCTCTCTCAGTTTATCGCTCTTCGCTTGATCGTGTCTATGTGCACAACCGTGTCAAAGCACGTCTTACCTGGCTCAATCCCGAATGACTGAAGTTTCCTCGTGGTAACCGCCCTTGGTGAGGCTGCAATGTGCTCAGATCAACTGGCTGCAGGTCAAACACTATCCCAGGGTGGGGGGCTTGGGCTGCACAGGTCTTATTCTCGTGGCTTTCGGCACGGGCATAAACGCCTAAACCCCAACCCCAAACCCTTCACCCTAGACAAAACCCTCTTTAAGTTTAGATTGCTCATAGAACCCTCAACCTTCGCAGATTCCTTATAAAACCCGTATATAGCGAACCTCTTAAATTGTAGATTGTTCATAGAACCCTAAACCTTCGCTGATTCCATCTAGCACCCCTATATAACGAATCCTAAACCCCAAACCTCTAAGCCCCGAAGCGCAAGCCGCGGCTTCTGTCACTCCGAGGCTGTGACCTGCCGACCATCCAAAGCCAGCCTTGGCCAAGAAGGGTTCTCTAAGGGTCCAAAGGACCCAATAATGAGGTACTTTGGTTGCGGATAGTAGTTATCTAGGTTAATATTTGGGTGAGTGTATGGTTGTTAGGTACTTGGACCCTTAGGGGTTTAGGGTTCAGCAAGGACTCTTCCTCGGGTTTTTGGGTTGGGGGGTTCAGGGCTTCGGGTTGTAGGGTTGAGGATGTTACGGCTTAGGGCTTTCCGGTGTAAGGGTTTTCCGGGCCCAGGGCGTCGAGGGGTCGGGGTTTCCAGGTTTATGGTTTTTCGAATTAGACATCGCCCACAAAACGAATCCACGTGATGCTGCATCCCACCAACCATAGAGCTTGACTGCCACTGAGCGATCCTACTCCAAAAGCCCGCACCACACTTTTACTCAAGCCCCTATCAACCCTCTCTCCTAAACCCTACACCCGACAAGGCCCTTAATCCCTCTAAGCCACACACACCCTGAAATTCCCATATAATCGGCCCTGCAACTTCAACCCTAAACCCTAAACCCTAAACCCCTACACCCTAAACCCCTAAACCCCTAAACCCCTAAACCCAAAACCCTAAACCCCTAAACCCTAAAGCCCTAAAGCCACAAATTCCGAGCCCGGTGCTGCATGGGAGTGCGCCCCGAGCCATCCTTTTGCTCGAGACGCGCCCTCTTCTTGTAGAGCAGCTGGATGCACTGACACAGGGCGGCTGAGGGTGTGGCGGATTTGGCATTTAAATCTTAGGGCTTCGGGTTTAGGGTTTAGGGGTGTGGCGGACTTGGGATTTAGGGTACAGGCGGTTTACGTCTTTTTGGGCTTGGAGTCTGCGGTTTTCGGCAAGTGAAAGGTTGTGTGGCCTTCCGAACTGCTGGATGCACGGCGGTAGGGCGAAACGGGTATGGACTCTAGGGGTTCAGGGTGACACATGTTCAGTTGGGTTTAGGGGGATTAGGCTAAAGCTTGTTATCCCGACCTGGACTACGATGGTACAGTAGCGGGTTCTCGGCTGGCATATCGACTATGATCATTTGTTTTATGGTTTACAAAAACTACGTAGTAATTACGATGCCCATTCCTATCGGTAACCAAGTCCTATGACAAGTGCTTCTACTATGTCCATACGTTACGCAGTACTTCCATAGCAATTACAATTGCTATTGACAGTGCTATCACTCTTGTATGGAAAGTACCGTTACTATTGCGACAACTGTTGCTATTGCTTTTTCCGGTTACTACTACGATTGCGATTGCTACTGACATTACTACTAGCATTCATTCACTGCTTGCTTCATTCATTCATCCATTGGTTCGCCATTCATGGCCATTGCTAAGCATGACTCAAACGACCGAAATCCACCATTCGAAAGCAGCACCGACATTCGCAATCTTATCGGATCCTTAAGGGAGGGTGGTTCCAGCGGGGATGGGGATTGTTGGGTTATATACCCCTCTTGAACCCCTCTCTTAAGGATCCCATACATATCAGAAGTAAGCCTCGAAGACCTGAACTTTCTTCGCATCGAGGTCTGGTTGTAGGAATGGCCAAAAGCTCTTTTTGGGGCATAATGATTCCGGTTAACGGTTCAAAGGATTACGATTTCTACTTGAAGAGCCATGGGAAGTGGCAAATAGGATTGACGTAACTATAATTCGACGCAACCTAACTGTGATGATCGCTTGGCTTACGAAGTATAGGTCGCCACTGCCTGGAACTATCGCAACGTCGCTTCCTACTCCATCCATGCCTCGGGCTTGCCATTGGCAGCTGCTGCGTGGAGGGCCGTCTGGTACATGTTGTCCAGGGCCTGGTTACCATAAGAGTCGGTAAAGGTTTGCCATGAGGGTTCTGATACAGTTCGAGACAAAGTGATACGGTGATGTGAGGGCATACATGCAAGGCCAATTCCGGAAAGAAAATATTATTGTTTGTTGCTTAATAGTGATCACAGCGATACTATGTCATACACCCAAACTCTTTTCTAAATATGTGGAACTGGGCAATCGTTGCATCATGCGGAGGCGAGGCAAAAGTTCGCAGATCAGCTTTCGCAGAAAAATCCCTAAGTATCCATGCAACCATACAGTATATCCTTGGGCCTTCGAGTTGGTAAGCCCTTTAAGGCCAATTTCTCTGCATTTGAGTACATGGGTGCTTAGGAAATGATTTGCAACAACACTTCAGGATATTGTGGAGATAGACGAAAATAGCCTGATGCCATTGCTGCATTGGGCCTTCAGGTTCTATGAAAAAGCCGTGTAGTAAAACTACCAAAGACTTCTTGGACCAGATCCTTAGCTACCACATTCTGGACCCCGTGAGGACCGTAACATCCTACTTGAGCCCTGAACTTGCAAACCCTGAGCACTGCAGAAACGCTTGCTAAATGGACTAAGCCTGCATACGGTTAGGGTGTCTGCTGAACTCCTCTGGCATGGACACTCAACACCTCCCAAGAAAAGCTTTAGCCAGAGCGATAGCCGATAGACTTTGAGAGCGAGCCAATGAATGACATCAGGCTCTTATGTACCTTGAATCAGTTGGAAAGTGTCGCATCCCACAACCCCTAAACTTTGCCTAAACCCTGAACCCTTAACCCCTAAACCGTAAACCTCACAACCCCTAAACTTTCCCTAAACCCTGAGCCCCCAAACTCCTATGAACCCCGAACCCCTAAACATGAACCCACAACCCCTAAAATTTCCCTAAACCCCTAAACTTTCCCTAAACCCCTGAAACTCCGATGAACCCTGGACTGGCGAAAAAAAAAAAAAAAACAAACCACCGCCTTGCCTGGACATCGGCCTGGCAGCGAAGAAGAGCTGCCACCTCAGCTAAGGCGGGGTTTTAGGGTTCAGGTTTTAGGGTTTAGGGTTTAGGGTCTAGGGTTTAGGGTTTAGGGTTTA